GGCTTCCTGTTGAATCCAGAACAGAATTTAAAATCCTCCTTCTCACATATAAAGCCTTAAATGGCCAAGCTCCATCTTATGTCAGAGATCTGATTGTTCCTTATGTTCCTAAAAGAGCACTTCGCTCTCAATCTGCAGCTTTACTAGTGGTTCCTAGAATTTCTAAAAGTAGAATGTGAGGCAGATCTTTTAGTTATCAGGCTCCTCTCCTGTGGAACCAACTACCAGTTTTAGTCTGTGAGGCAGACACCCTGTCTACTTTTAAGGCAAGTTTAACTGTTTCTTATTGATAAGGCTTATAGTTAGAGTGGCTCAGGTTATCCTGAGCTATCTCTATAGTCATGCTGCTATAGCCTTAGACTGCTGGATGACATAGGGACTCCTTTTCATCATTCTGCTTCACTCTACCTACAAATGTAAACTATTTCCATTTTCAAGAACCAAATTTGGTTTTTCATTTCAAATTCAAATCATTAAATCAACAGATATAAATGCTTTAATCATATCGTTCCATGTTCAATGAAACTGAATTATATTTGTAAAGGAAATGTAAAAACACACCAAATGAGGAAAAAAAACACCCACATTTATTGAATTATCATTTGATTTATTGTTTAAATTCAAGGTTTTCAGCTTAACTACATCCAAGAGCTTTCAAATCACCATTGTGAGCTCATCAACACCAAAGTGACAACAGTGTGACATCATCGGCACCATCATGACATCACAGCATCATGATGGGGTTCAAATTAATACACAGTCCATCGTGAAGCCTTTCAACAATAAAAGCATCTCGCCATCAACCCTTTACAGTGGAAACATTGTACATAAACTTTGAGTCCAGCTTCAAATTTCTTTTAAACGGCTGCTTTAAAAACTAGCCAATCTAGAAAAAAAACATCAACCGCTTTACTACGGGATCTTTGAATAAGAAATAAGGATTTTTTTTCTCTCTCCGTTTTGGCTTAAGTTACATGACTCTGTACAGAGAGGATGATTTTAAAAATACAATGGCAGTTCTAAATGTCCTGATATGACATGGTAACAGTACTGTGCGTGCTCAAACTAATGTTCTCCTGCCTCATTCTTTTGCTTTCTCTCCATATTTGTTACACCCACTGCAGGAAAGAAGAGAAAAGCAACTTTCTTCAAACAAATTCTTACAGTAACAAACAGGGTCTACTTTAAAATTTAAAACATACTGTATTTGTTTCAAAAAAGAAATATCTACAGCAAAGAATCAGTGCATTTTCAATTAAAAACTTAAATTGACCTTAAAGTATTTGTCTTTTAAGTCCACCGTTTCAGAGGGTTCAGTGCAGGTTTAGAAGCTGTAAAAAATTCAGAATTTAACATTCAATAAAAGTAATTGTTGTTCTCATCCTTCAGTGCAAGGAGTTCCCAAATATTGGAGCCCGTGACCCCCCGGACAAGTGATCCCAAAAATACAGATCATTATTTTATCTCTTTATCCATATAAAGTGACCTAGTTATTTGAAGGTTTAAATAATTTTTAAAAAGACATTTCATTATTTAATGCATCATTTTAAATGCAGTTGTACATTTTATGTAATTTATATTTAACTATGGTACATTTCTGTATTTTTTGGAACATTAATATGTATGTATTTTATATATATTTTGCCCTCTGTATACCTCTGCCATCACATCACAGTGATTGTGAAGACCATGACCCATACTTAGGGTTTCTACCCCCAAATTTGGGAACCCCTGCTTTACAATAAGGCTGTTTTTAGATCAAGAGCAAACGGAAAAACAATCTAGAAAATAAGTCAACATTTCTTAATTTAAGTGTATTTCCCCTAATTTAGGTAGGTAAACAAGATGTTTTGCCAATGGAATGAGTATCTTTACACTTAAAATAAGATAATTAGATAACATGCACTTGATATAAGACAATGCATTTTTTTTTTTACTTATTTTAAATGTAAATTGTCTTGTTCCATTGGCAAAGAGTCTCACCTCAATTAAAGAACAAATGCACTTATTATAAGAAAAAAATTATTTAGATTTCTATCTTTTCCAGTAAAGGAAGACTCTCTTGTTCCAGTTTTAACATAGGTGTGTACATTTACAAGGACAGAGTGCTTTTTCCAGCCTTATAATAGGAGCCAAAGATTTTTCCAAAGAACAGATCTCTCTTTGTGTCCTTCTGAATAAACAAACCTTATTGCACGTCAACATACTTTACAGTTTAGGAGTCTGAGCAGCTCAGTACATCACATAAAGTATCAGTTTTGTCTCCTTTTTGCCTTTCAATGCATGTAAGCCAATCATTTCTAGTTTACCTTAAATCTACACTAATTGAAATTCTCAACTGTTATTTTTGACACCATGCTGTTTTCATGGTCACTAACTGGTGTTTATTGTATGGCTATAACCTCCTTCACTAACATCTAAATGATGAGAAGCCGTAAATACAGAGAACTCAGAATTTCTCTCCTTCATTGAAAAATAATACATTTTAGATATTCTTGCTAAGAAAAATATTGCATTAATCCCACTATTTTATGGCTATTAGTGTTTATGATGTGCCACAGAGATCTGTAATAGTGTTGGTTTTGTTCAACATGATGTAGGACTGTACTACGGAGCAGGATTACTGGTTAAACTCCATTTTCTGGTAAGGTTTAACACAATTAGACCAAATTTAAATGAAAAATATGTTCATACTCTGAAAACGAATATTAAAGCTCTATAGTAAGTTGCATTTTGCCCTAACACCCTGAACCCACCAACCTGGAAAAATTCTGTGAATATATTTAAACACTATTCTTGGCAGACATTTTAAAATTGATTTATATTACTGGATTATCAGCTTGTAAACCCACTTTTTGTACAGTCTTAATTGTGACCATTACATGAGCTTAAACGTAGCCTGTGCTATAAACAGTTTTTTTTTTTCTGTGTTTGGAATCTTGACCATTTAATTGCATCTAGCTGTTGATTTGAAGCTCTGCTGACAGGCTGCCTCTTCCTGAATTCCATTAACTCCACACATTCCTAATGTGATCAATTAGATTAGACTTCCTCTAATAATAAATATTTTCTCTCGGAGGAATTCTATGGACTTAATTTTGTTCCATTATTGTTTCAATTGACAAATTTTTAAATGGTAAAAAACTAAATAAAATGCAATCCTGAAATGAAACATCGTAATAAAAAAAAATGTTTGAGAGTTTGTTTTTTTCTCTGATTTCATTTTTACAATATTTTTTTTCAGATTTTGTTAACTGATCTGTAAAAAACAATTTGAAAATCACGCAATTTGTAAAACTTATTCTGAAAAAGTGAAAATAAAAAATAAAAATAAAAAAGAAATAAAATCTGATAAAACAGCAAAGTTACTCTCGAAACTTTTTTTTAATAAAGTTTTTCAAAGTTTCATTTCTGAATTAAAAACTAAACTAAAAACTAAATAAAAAACTGACTAAAAACAGTCAACATGGACAATGCATTGGTGTTGCTGCAGCTTCTTGTTTATAACAGGCTGCAGTACAGCTGGCTGTGGAACTCCCTCACAGGATGATGCTTCCTCTACTGTGCTTGACAGCTGATGCAGAGTGATTTCCTTTGTAAACTTCGCTTTTACTTTGAACCAAATAGCTCTAGGTTTCTAGTTCGTCTCTTCCAAGAAATTCTATTCATCTAAATGGGACAGTTTGGTTCTTTTTCCAGATCATGGCGCAGTGGTTCTATATCTGAATATCTGAAACACGCTCAAAGCTGTTTAATGATGCTGAATGCTCAAGTTAATCCTTCCCTTCATATAGATCTTCCATTAGACTGTCGGACTTTCACATTTTTCAAAGTAATGTTCAATCCAATTATTTCTGTAAAATCCAAGAAAAACTACCTGCCTATTTAAATTACAGCCAGATTTCGTTGGGCCTTAGTTGAGCTCTGAGCTCTACCAGTTAAAGACTTTAGGTGTATTTATCATTTTTAGCATTTTATAGTAGAGACCTTTTAACATACGGTTTAACTTGTGCACCATATTTTTGTTTTCAGAATTCGATGAAGCTCTATAACTTAAAACTAAAATACAACAAACAAACATCAGATTATCATTAGATTTATCTTCATGATTAGAAATGATGGCATTACTGCCAGAGAAAACCTGCTTCGTAGTACAGATGATGCTGAAATATGTGAAACCTTCAGAAAGTCAGAGTTATAAAAACAGTCCGACCATTCCTTAACCTAAAAATGAAGAAACTAAGGAGGGAAATGGCATTCGAATAATGTCCAGCACTTTTTTCCCCACGCTGCTTGCATAAATCTCTTCATTAAATCATCTTTTATTTACAACAATTCATGAGATCCTTATCAAGTCTGGCTCCTCAGAGCCCAACAAGTCTTTTGGACACTCCTTAATAAGAGTCCAAACATTAAACTCCAGGTTAAGACTACAAAAAAAAGTCTGAGATTGTTATACAGTAGAATACGGTAGACAGCTTTCAAGTAAAACAGCTTAACACTGATGTAATCACACGATAAAGGAAAATCGAGTCAAACTACAGCTGAAAATCATTCTAACAAAGCATTATTAGTGGTTGCATGTTCTCAGTTCGACCCCGGTGATGAAAAACGGACAGAAACTGCATCATCAGATGATCAACAGAATGTCGTGAGAGATTCTTCTTTTTGTTACTGAATCTACTGAAGCAGAAATGTTTAATTATTTTGAAAGTTTAGAAAAAGCCATCATAACCACAAACGACTAAGCCGCCGATTTCTCTGCCTCAAAAAAAAAATGGAACACATCTTTTTGCTTGAAAATATTTGAATAAGCGAGTGACTAAGCGACACCCGCATTTTGTTTTGAACAGTAATCCATTGATAATTATCAATGCACAAAAAGATAAGACGAAAGCACACAAATATCCAAAAACTAAAAGTAAGACAGCTCAGGATCAGAGAGATTTTTTTTTTTTTTTTTTGTCGTTGTCGTTCTTTTTTCCTTTTTTTTCCTCACCTAAGTTCAAAATACACATATTAACCAGCTGTATAAGATTTACAGAGGGATTTGGGTTCATCAAAAAAGCACAGTTTTATGTCAGTTCAGCTTTCCTGGCTTTATGGTGGACCTTAAGTCCAGCACAGTTCAGGTCCAGTCCAGACCAGCCTGGTTCAATGCTGAGGAGTAGAGACGGCCTTTGCTGGGGCAGTAATACTAATAACTGTGTGCCATCATGTGCTGGGCAGATGGCAAGTAATGCTGGAGTTTTTTCACACCGTGCCGTATTCCCTCTGTTTGTTCACCCTGCAGGAAGCTCCGCTCAGCTTCACCAACCGGTATGAGGAGCCTCTGGTTGTAGAGCTGGGGGAGATCCAGAGGGGCCAGGACGTACTACAGAGGCCAGAGGCAGCTCAGAATATGGACAGAGAAAAATATGGCTGAGGTGGTCATTGGTAAAGAGATTAAAGAGGAGAAAGTGAAAGATTTCCTGGGGCAGAGGAACTGTGGAACACCTAGCCGTGTTCTCAGGTACTTTGGTGAGGTGGAGGTCAGGGAGGATGAGGGAGAGGAATCTAAAGAAGGCCTTCAGAGGGGAAGAGGTCATCTAGCCTTAAAGATGCCTGCAGGGAGGAAAAGGATGAAACGAAGCTGTGAAAAGAACAACATCAGAATGAAGATACCAGTTTCAATACTCAAACAAAGAATTCACAAGTGTTGTGCAGAGATTTTAAACCCCATTTTATCTGTTTTTCATTTTGCTTCTCCTGAGCAGGGTCAACAGAAATGAATAAAAGATGTAATTTAAGGAAAACACTACAACTAACTAAAACTGTACTGTGCATAAATAAAACTGACAAAAATGTCCTTTAATATTCAAAATACAACTTTTGTTTTCATGCCTATCAATTTCTCTTATAAGTTTTGCAAAGTGGTGTTTTTTCCCTCACAGTATTCAGTCAGCTGTATAAATAAAGTAGTGTCTGTTGTTGAGTTTGTATTACATACATTGTTTCATAAATATACAGTACCCTGACCTTTTTAAATCCTGCAAGTAAAATTTCAATAAGTACAAAAAAAAAATAAAACCGCTACAAGAGCTGATCAAAATAATCCAAAACTAAGCCTTATTAAAAATTAGTAATAAAAATTAGGACAATTATTTTAGACATGATTAAAACTAACTGAATAACAGAAGAAAATAGTTACAACTTAATCAATATAAAATAGAGGAAAAGTCCCAAACTATTAGAACCTGGCTTGTGAGTTTAACTTTCTTTAATTTTACTAAAATGGTCGTAAACAATCAGGGGTTTCTAAAGATCTCTCACAGGTTTCATTCAGACTTGATAAACTGTCCCCATCCCTGTAAAGAGCTGCTTAATCTGTGAAATGAAATACATTTTTGGCCATATTTCCCAAATTGTATTTTACACAAACACATCACTGCACTGCATTTAAAGCTAGAGCCCAGGTTGAAGCAAGGGGGTGGAGAGGCCATGATGTGGGGTTACTTTCTTCATTTGGAAGAAGAACTTTAAACAGAAGTCATCGAAATCTACAACACATAAATATATACCTACGGGCTTAAAACAATGTATTTACTACCAAAGATAAATACAAAATCTATACAATTTTAAAGCTTTAAAATAAGTAAATAAATAAAATAAGAATTGGAAATCTGACCCACCAAATCACAGAGTTATTCTGCTCTCTCACCGCAGCCATCTTCAGCAGATGGTCTCAAGATGACGCGAGTTCTGCAGAGATCAGGAGAATACCAAGAAAATTAAGGAAAACATCCCATTTTAAAATCCTTGAAGGGCACACTGCACACGGCTCACTTTGACTTTAGGGCATTACAGATATTTACAATACAATGAAAAAGAATTCACCACTAAGGTGTTTTTATTTATACTCTTTCTTAAATAATTAAACATTTTTATATCAGACGATGAAAATCTGATTTAGAAATTAGGTTATTTACTTAGACAGATACAGTGAGTCCAAGAAGTATTTGAAATACAATGAAATACAAATTAATTAATATATCTTCCTTAGATTTTTTTTCAGGATTTTCTTTTTGATATTCTGTTTCTCCATGTTAGAATACATCTACCATTAAACGTGCAGAATGATCACATCTTTATTAGTGGGCAAATGAAGAAAATCAGCAAGGGATCAAATACTTCTTGGACTCACTGTATCTCTGACTTAATAAACTTGCTCTAGATGGGAAAATGTAAAATGTAACCACACGATCCCAATGTGCAGAAGTTTAAAGTACGACTCATTTAATGAAAAAAAAAGTCATTTCAGAGAACCTACTTCCACCTACATTGCCTTAAATACAGGCAACAATACAAACATGGTAAGTGGATCAATCACAGAAATAATAGTTTTGCAAGGATTTGTGGAGGATTTCTCACCACACTCTTCACCAGAGACAGAAGAAATTTACAGCGGAGAACATTGGCATACACATTACTACACATGACATTATTTTCCTTGAATGCTGCGTTATTTAAAATGAACCACAAAGTAAAAGTTATACTTTTGTCTTTTTGGTCTATAGAATATTTCACCAACAGTCATGAGGATTATCTTTAAATGTAAGACAGGTTTGTGTTTTTTGTAATGAGGAGTAGTTTTAATCTTTGGTCTCTCTAACTGATGGAATTTAGTCTCTTGCTTATTGTTGAAATAATAAAGACTGATTCTAACTGATAACAGTGACACCTGCAGTTCTTTAGCTGTTATTATGGATACTGCTGTGACCTTCTTGTTCAGTAGAAGCCATCAATGCTTTCTTGAGCCTATTTTTGTAAACAAGCGACTCCTGAGAAGTTTGCTACTAATCAGACCGATAGATATCAGTGACTCTGTTTATAATCTCTTCATTACCTCCTATTGATTGGGGCATGCTGTCTCAAGGGCTCTTTAAGCCTACATCATGTTGCCGGAAAGGTTCTACATAAGGAGTTTCTTTAATTTAAAGGTTTGCTAGTCGTTAAATCTGAATGCAGCAAATTAAATAAAAAAATTTCTTATTCACAGTCATTGTATGATTTCAGAAGTTTTTGTTATCCTGTGGTCTGGCTGCTTTGGATAGCTTAGTGCCTTAAATAGCAGACATTTTTATTTAAAATGCCTTTTTTATAATTTTAGGGAACCTTTTTCATATTTTTATATATGTTTATATTCATTACCTGACATTTTCATGTGTGATCATAAAAAGGCTGAAACATTTTTCAGATCATTTTCTGTGTCTTACAGGAGTGTCGTTCCATTGCCGTGGTAAATCTTCAGGTTCGGGTGGGTAGGACATCCAGGAGGGGCTCCTGTACGAGGACGGAGGAGACATGACGAAGTAATCCGAATAACCCGGTCGGTTGGCTGATATAGCGTAGACTGCCGTGATTGGGTTTCCTGTCATGATAAAATTTGTACTATAAATAAATGTGACATTTATTCTTCTCTCTCCAGAGTTTTGATCATATTAACATTGTGTTTTGCCTGAGTAGTTGCTGATGGACTGATCCACAGTGACAGCAGGGAAAGGTGTCCTGGCCAGTGGCAGATAGGGGGCACCGTTGTGTTGCTGGGTCTGCAGATCTGATGCTTCAGATACACGGGGCTTCAGGCTCACGTCAGGGGTGGAGCTGTTACTGCAGAAGAGAGACTAATGTCAGCTCTAAACAAAAAACCATAAACAACCATTGGAGCAAAAAAAAAACCTTCATCTGAAGATGATAGCTTTATTTATTAACAGCAGGAGATTGTTACACTGCATTGTCACAAGGACTATACAGAGGATATACAGTATTAACATACATATAGATACATACAACAATGTGGACAACATAAAAGGCAAAGTATCCTAGCATTGTTAAAGTGCTTAATCATATTGTGGTGTTCCCAAAGTATCCATCTTAGTGCCCCTCCTATTCAGTACCTTCATGCTTCCCCTTACCCAGATCCCATGCACCTTTTTCTTCCTTTGGTACCTTCTTCTTCTCCTTTTACAACTTGGGCTGATGTAATGAGTAAATTTCTCCAATATGAGATCAAGAAATTCAATCAATTAACAAACAACATATGTTACCATAGTGATGCAGACAACACCCAGCTGTACTATAAACTACGAACCCATCCCAGCTCTGGGTGGGCAAGAAGGAATCAAAGTCACAGGAGGAGCGTTTAAAAGTTATCGCGCAGCTTCAGTTGCTGCGTCTTCACAGGTCTGCCTAGAAAGTGGATCGGACAGCTGCAGCTGATCCAGAATTGTACTATCTGCGTCCTCACTAGAACTAAGAACATGGAGAACATCAGCCAAGTTCTAAAGACCTTCTTCACGTTTCTCAGAGAATAGACTTTAAAATCCTTCTGTTGGTCTACAAATCACTGAATGTCTTTGCTCCAAAATACATTATAGACCGTTTGGCAGTGGATCGACAGTCAGACCTCTCAGGTCAACTGGATCAGATCTACTGTGCAGAACCAGAACCAAATATGGAGAAGCAGTTTTTAGAAGCACCCCTTACTGGCGAGAGGGAGTTTTCAAAAAATGTATTAAAAATACTTTGCACAATTTAGACATTTCTTGTGAATATTTCATGTAATGAGTTTGACTTTTTTTTTTATTTTACTATTATGAGTATTTGGATTTTATTAAATAACTTTGAAATCACTCACTGGTTATTTATTATTGCTATTTAAGAATTCATGTAACTATGGAGTTAAATAACCTGCATAAATCTGCTTCCGTTAAAATGCTTTAATACGTTTTTTGATGCATTTTTTATGATAATTAAAAACTAAATGGTCTTAATTTAAAGTTAAAAACATAGTCTATTTTCATAAATATATTTAATGTTGCATTTCTCAGAACTATTACAATTTGCAATATGGTAAATGCTTTGTTTGGTTTCATTTCTTTCAAAGGTTTTTCACCTGCTTAATTAAATGATTCTGTAAATCTGTAAACACAAGAAGAAAAATAAAAAAGGAAAAGATGAAAGAACAGTTTGGTCATTGAGTGGAATCCAGTTTAATGTTCAGCTTAATACAACCCTTCAAGTGTGGGAATAGCACAGCAAAGATCAAATCACTTGACACTAATCAACACAAGTTCATGGAAGCTATGTTGTTATGGCAACGTCAAGCAAGCTAGTGCGTGGTATCCTGCTCGTGGCAGCAAACTAGCAAATTCACTTAGTCTAATGACAGGAATGAGGGGTAAATATGGCACAGAAACACATTTCGGATTTGTGTGCTTATAAGAGACTTTATCTCCACGACCTCAGAACGTAGCTCAAATTAAGAGCACGGTGCCGCCGGGAACTTTCATATCTATTCATGCAGTTTAGCATAATATGTTGGAGTGTAATAGAGATGTGTTCAATAATGTTTAAATAGTATAATAATATAATTATTTCCTTGTGGTTTGTGTAAAAGGATTTTTTAATCTACTATAGACAAGTGTAACATAAACACACTGACTCAGGTTAATGCCAGCAGACCAAATTGACGTTGTTATAGTGTTAAAAAAGCATATTTACACCTGAGAACTGATGATGTCTGTGTGTTACAGATCCCAATGGCATACACTGAAATGTACACTATATTGCCAAAAGTATTTGCTCACCCATCCAAATTATTGGAATCAGGTGTTCCAATCACTTCCATGGCCACAGGTGTATAAATTCAAGCACCTAGGCATGCAGACTGTTTTTACAAACATTTGTGAAAGAATGGGTCGCTCTCAGGAGCTCAGTGAATTCCAGCGTGGAACTGTGATAGGATGCCACCTGTGCAACAAATCCAGTCGTGAAATTTCCTCGCTCCTAAATATTCCACAGTCAACTGTCAGCTGTATTATAAGAAAATGGAAGTGTTTGGGAACGACAGCAACTCAGCCACGAAGTGGTAGGCCACGTAAACTGACGGAGCGGGGTCAGCGGATGCTGACGCGCATAGTGCGAAGAGGTCGCCAACTTTCTGCAGAGTCAATCACTACAGACCTCCAAACTTCATGTGGCCTTCAGATTAGCTCAAGAACAGTGCGCAGAGAGCTTCATGGAATGGGTTTCCATGGTCGAGCAGCTGCATCCAAGCCATACATCACCAAGTGCAATGCAAAGCGTCGGATGCGGTGGTGTAAAGCACGCCGCCACTGGACTCTAGAGCAGTGGAGACGCGTTCTCTGGAGTGACGAATCGCGCTTCTCCATCTGGCAATCTGATGGACGGGTCTGGGTTTGGCGGTTGCCAGGAGAACGGTACTTGTCTGACTGCATTGTGCCAAGTGTAAAGTTTGTTGGAGGGGGGATTATGGTGTGGGGTTGTTTTTCAGGAGCTGGGCTTGGCCCCTTAGTTCCAGTGAAAGGAACTCTGAATGCTTCAGCATACCAAGACATTTTGGACAATTCCATGCTCCCAACTTTGTGGGAACAGTTTGGAGCTGGCCCCTTCCTCTTCCAACATGACTGTGCACCAGTGCACAAAGCAAGGTCCATAAAGACATGGATGACAGAGTCTGGTGTGGATGAACTTGACTGGCCTGCACAGAGTCCTGACCTCAACCCGATAGAACACCTTTGGGATGAATTAGAGCGGAGACTGAGAGCCAGGCCTTCTCGTCCAACATCAGTGTGCGACCTCACAAATGCGCTTCTGGAAGAATGGTCAAAAATTCCCATAAACACACTCCTAAACCTTGTGGACAGCCTTCCCAGAAGAGTTGAAGCTGTTCTAGCTGCAAAGGGTGGACCGACGTCATATTGAACCCTATGGATTAGGAACGGGATGTCACTTAAGCTCATATGTGAGTCAAGGCAGGTGAGCAAATACTTTTGGCAATATAGTGTATATAAAAAATAAAGTGAATCTCAATTGAATCTCAATCTATTTATTTATTTATTTTTATTGTATTTTAAATAGGGCTATAGGCTCATAGGTCTTTTGTCAAAAAAAGAACAAAAAACAAAAAAACACTCCCTGTTCATAATTGCTTGCGGCAGCTCAGCACTAATCTTAAACAATGATGCCATAAAACTGTAAAAGTGGAGAAAGCCTGAGTTGCTTGAAAGCCAGATTAAGGAGGTTTTTGTTTAGAGAATCCTTCACTCACTATCTAAACATTAGTCTCCTCTTTTAGTATAACTTAATTTTATGTTTTCTTCATCCTTTTTTTTATATATATTTTACATATGCATTTTTATTCTCTTTGAGTATTTGTTCTGCCTTTACTGTATGCTACTGCGATATACTGTTATTTGTCTTCTCATGTACAGCACTAAATTGCCATCCTGCTATAGAAAAAAACTTGCCTTTCCTTGCTTGCAGCACGATGGAAAACTTCCAACTGTTTCTTGAGTGTAGAGGCAGACAGTACATTTGGCCCAAAGGGAGCAGCTTAAATAAAGCCCTTAGGCGATGTTTGAAGTCTGCTGCAATCTCTTTTGGACTTCCTTATCACTCTGTCCATATATATTGTTTCCAGGCATTCCACTTTCCTCTGAACCTCTGTGGCAATGCCAAAACAACATAAACAAAAAAAAAGCTCAAATCTTCTTGATAAGGCAGAATAAAACAATTAAAGCATTAATTAACTTGATTGAATTCTAATTGATTAAATTCTAAATAAGCTGAAAAATCATCCAGGAAAATAAAAGGACACAAAATGAAAAAAAAAGTTCTTTATGTAACATTTCTCAGTCATAATCTCAGCTATTTTTATGCAAGTTTTGCTGTAAAAGCAAACCAGCTCAATACTTGAAGCACTCCAGTCAGTACAGCATAGATTGTTAGCATAGGGTCTTCACTTAACTCAAGGCCAATACCTTTTATTTGCTTTTAATCAATTATTTGAATCAAATTCACCAACATGTAGGTATTACCTGAATCAACTGGAGGAACAAAAACTGACCCTCCGAGGAATATTAGCTTTAATCTTTGCAGACAGTTTAGCTGTCAGCTCACACGGTGCAGCTGCATTTTTTAAAGATTTATGTTTTGATTCAGATTTATATCTATTTGATTTAGATTTATTTTTAATCATTAAATGGGTGATTTTACATATTTTAGAAATAAATATATATAATGCATCTTTAAAATAAGATATTATTTAACTTATAATTTTAAAATTCTTTTTCATTATTTAATTGGAATTTTAATCATTCAGTTTTAAATATTTAAATTTCATGGTATAGCTAATAACCGTGTTTTAAATAAATACATGTTACATCTATTAACTTCATGGTGCATTTATTTATCATCTGAACATCACATTTATGTATTTCTAAGGAACCGATCCGTCTCAAGTTACATGGTTGAGTTTTTGAGAAAGGCAGCCATGATGAAGCACAGTAGCACCGAGTGATGAATATTAACCTGAAATAAAAATTTTATTTCTCATAAAAAGCTAATAAGTGGGTCAAAACTTACAAAGTGTTGCTTTAAAAAAAAAAAAATCTTTAACATTTAGAAATCTAAGATTACATTCCTTGATTATATAGCATGTTTTAGGTTATTCTCTTTCCATTCATTATAAATAACAAGAAAATGCATGTTTTATAAAGAAAAATGACCAGAAGATCAGAAACATCAAGAATCATATAAGTCCTGTTGATGCACATGGAGTAGGAAAAGGTAAATATTACTACTGGAAAAAATATAAATCTAGATAAGTTCTTTCTTCTTGTATTTGTGAGACACTTTGCCAATGGAACAAGACAATTTACATTTAAAATAAAAACAATTGCATTGTCTTATTTGAAATGCATATTATCTTACTACCTTATTTAGAGAGTAAAAATACTCACTAAATTAATGGATTAAGGGTAATTTCATTTAATTTAAGAAATGTTGACTTATTTCTAGATAATTCTTGCAGTGAAGAAAAATCCCTTCAGCTAACATATTTTGATATTTACTTTGCTTGACATTTGAAGGAATTTAGCATCTACCTTCTTAGCATCACTTTTGAATAGCCTTGCTATTGATCTTGAATTTTGTACCTGCTCTGTTTGCAGAGCACAGTTCCTGCTGTCAGACAGAGACTATAAATCATCCCATACATCACAGCACAGTTCCCTGCACTGTAGAAGCACTGGTGATGCTGCACCACTGTGAAGGACCAGAGGACAGATGAGGTCACTGACGGCTCTCTGAGCCATAATGCACAGGGCACATTAATGCCGCATAGTGCATAATAAAGAGGAATTAACATGCTGCTCCCCTCCTCCCAGAGTGACACAGAGGAGCTGGAGTGTGCAAAGCTAAGTGATTATCCACTAAAACTGACATATAAATCAGTAAACTAACCAGGATTTAGGTTAACATTATAAACCACTCTTATTTCCTTAGTATGAATGAAAATCTTAAATCACTTTGTAACTTAAAAAAAAAGACAAAACAATGATTTAATTCTCACAAACACTCATCTCCCTGTCACTCCTGTGAGCAAGAGCTTTGCTCTCTCTGTGGGTTTATCCAAACATACAGTAGCCCACTAGATGGTGCAGCTGTTCCTTCTAGGAAACCTGAGCCTCTGAGCAGTCAGTCACTCTCTGCAGTGGTAAAATGCCCAGCAACACAGAGCACTCAGCAACAGCATTGAAATGAAGAGCATGCTTGGATCACATGTAGGGGACAAACAGATGGACCTGAAGTTAGCTTCAAACGATGCTGATTACAATTCTGATGTTTCCTGTCTGGTTAACGTGCATCAGCTTGACTCATGGTTTCAGACAGAGAGCTATACATTCACCTAGAAACGTTATCAGTCATGGTGTCCTCTAGGCTTAATGAGGAAGCATCTTTGCAAACCAAACATTCCAATAATGAAGTAATTGGTCTAATATATTTTACTGAAGGGTAAGAGTATGGAGTGAATTTTGTTCCATTATTGTTGCAAGTAAAGAAAATGTTTTATAAATTAAGTATATTTTTTTTGGAATTTTTTAATTTGAAAGTACTTTTGACGTTTTTCAAATTTTTTTTTTTCCAAGAGATTTCTTACTTTTTACATTTTTTTTAAATATTTCATATTTATTCAAATTTTTCGATTTTACATTTTCATTTTTAAAATTTTCAAATATCTGATTTTCAGATTTCATTCTCTTCACTTTTGAGGGCGGGCTTCCTCTGGAGTGAGGAGAGAAGACGCGCTTCTATTGGTCTGCTGAATGTTAACAACAGTATTGTTTTGGTCAATGTGAGTGCTTGTGCTTAAGTGGAGAGAAAGTGAACAATAAATTAACAAGAGAAAAATTTCTATTAAATATAGAATTGTATTAAAAATGAAAATTGTAAAAAAAAAAAAATCCCCTTTTAAATTAAGACGTCTTTGGTTTTTCCTGTCTTGATTGCATGCTTTAATTTCCATCAGCAAAGCATGTTATTTTTCAGATTTTTTTTTAGTTCTATTCTTTTTTAGTAAAAACAATTCAACAAAAAATAAACACTAAATAAAAGAGTGCTGTCTTCCATCTCTTCCTGCAGCATATGCTACATCAGAGGAGATATCTTTTTTTGACTTTATTTGATCATCTGTATTTGAGTTATTGTGCGTTACCATCGTATTGAGGTCCCAGGTGGCGGTCCTGGTCTGGAGGGGATTAGAGGCGGGGGAGAACCGATGCCCATATCAGGAAGCTGGGTGAACCGGAAACCCTAAATAGAGCATAAATAGGTTAATACAGAGACAAAAAAAAATACAACATTATTATTACAATACAAATTATTATTCCTATTCATTTCTAAAGCTCATACTTTTAGCTGCTGCCATAAAAAAAACTACCCATTGTTGAGAAAATTAATTTTAAATAAGCTAGTTTTAAAACTTAACATGTCTTGATTCAAATGGCCTAAATTGTGGTTTTAAATCAGTGACTTATTCTGGCCTGTTGACCTTTGTTTTGCCTGTGGCTGCAGCGGATGGTTTGCTAGGATCATTTAAACTGCCTTTTGTCTGTGTCGTAAAACAATATAGTGGAGGTTCTGGCTTTTCACACTCATCTGTGAGAAGCCGTAAACACTGCAAGGGTTTTAGGCTTCAGATAAGGGGTCAGAGATAGCTCCTGGTTGGAGGAGCAAAGGTATGCCTTATTTTAATCAATTAAATACAAGAGGATAAAACTTTCTACACAGAAGTAAAAAATCAGATTTGCCCTTGCAACTCTCCAAAGATGTCTTTGTACGTCTTTGCTTTCTTTCCTTCTCTTCATTTATGTCAGGTAAATGAATGTATGTCTCCGTTGTTCTGCAGTTTCTGGTGTAAGCTTGTGCATTGTCTTACTTCTAAGTTTATGCATTGTCTTATATTGGATTAAACTCTGTAATTCTGTGACGTCAACACGAATTGTTGTTTTCCTTGTGGCTACACATGGCCGCCGAGAGGACCTGGAATCCAAAGGAAGAGAGAGAGACAAACTTTTTTCCAAAGTTAACTTCTTAGAAATTTCTTCCTTAACACCATCTAAAAAATGTCTGGATGTTTCTTATTAGTGTTGGGCCGATGCCATTTTTTTGCCCCAATACTGATACCTGGCTTTGCAGTATTGGCCGATACCGATACCATCTGTTTGAAATTGATGTGTGTGAATATATGAAGAGCTGCATACTACTTGGATGTAAAATAATTAACATCATGGGTTTGTCCAGCTGCTGCCTACCTTTGTAAAGCAGGAGACTAAAACAAATTGAATCCACCTGGAATTGGTGATAATAGTTGAATAAACTTTTGGCTCTCAAACACTGATGCAACACTAGTTCTTACACAGCTTGCAGACCTGGTACAGAAAATAAATGTGATTTCCATCATATAATCTCTGATCATTTAGATTCTGCCGAAGAAATAAGAACCAAAGTTGGTCAAATCTTTTTTCTGTCTGTATGTTGTAAAGAGTAACTCCAACATTAGCGCACTGCCAGTCAAGTGGCTAAAAAGGGGCTTCAATTTGATCCCACTAAAAGGACTAGAAGGGATTTTATAGTTAAAATGTTTAAAATTAAGTTTTATGTCAGTAGCGACAAGCTTCATAATTTCTTTCTTTACTAAAGAGAATAGAATGTCCCTCCGTGGCCTCCGTCGTACTGTGGGTTTCACACGCTTGATGTGGGAGCACCAGTCTGTTGTATCTCATTCATTTAATGCACCGCCAGATGGAAGTATGTGTTACTCAATGCAGCTTTAAAACCTTTTTTTTTCTTTTTCACTGCTTTTTGTCAAACTAATCAACAAAGTCAAGTTTGCAGCTGTAACCATAATAAAATGTTGATATAGGCTGTGTCCGAATGTCCACCCTAAGCATTACATATAGGGCACTATATATGTACAGCCATTTTAAATGAGTGTCCGAGCATTTAATTGATGAAAAAATAGTGGAATTGAAATTTTCCACAATGAACCTTGAAAAGTAGTGATCATCCATGGTCACTAGACAAGCAGATATATGCCATAATGTTTTGCGAGAGGTCTCCTTGCAAAGCATTGTGGGATTTGCTGTCATAGCGGCCCGCTGTCGCCACAGTGGTCAGTAATAACAAAGATGGCGCAGGCACTGCGTGGTGGAGGCGGAGTAACGTGGCCAACGGGGAATGAAAAGTAGTGATTATCTCTCCAAACGCCTGGTTAACTGAGTTCACTATAAAGTCCCCGCTCTATATAGTGATTGAGGGATCTAGAGGTTCAGACACAGCCAATATCTCCTCTTTTTGCTGGGAATATTTTATTTTGGTAGTTTTATTATCTGCATAGAGTTTTAAAAGTAACTTCCCATCTGTTTATTGTAAAACTCCATATTTTAGTTCTGTTCTTACCGGTTTAGGCAGGCTACACTGGTGCATGTCCTCGTAACCTGCGTTCCTCTGCCTGCCCCCACAGGGGTGGTTCATGGTCCCCGGGGCACTGGTCACACCATCATTGTAGTGACTACTGTGGGTGGGGTTGTAGACACTGTGGGCATGGTGGTGGTGGTGATGGTGGCTGAAAATGGAAAAAAAATAAATATGAAAAGCAGAGTAGCTTCTGTATCTCTCTAGTATGCTTTGAAAAAGTGAACAAATATGTTCAGGCTTTAAATGTATTCTGCTTTTTGTGAAACAGCTTGAGAGTGGGATGTTATCTCTTCAAAAGTTCAAACTGTGCACCAGGGGACCTCTTGCTTTTCCACACAGTACAGTTAGAGATGCAGATGTGCTGGGAGATAAAGTATCAGCGAGAAAAATAAAATTACTTAGTTGGAGGGGAGGGAGGGTCATGATCCGGAGGCGCCAGGCTGAAAGCGTTGCCAAGCAACATGTGCATCTGCGTGCGGACCTCGTCAATGGAAGGCTGCGAGCTGAGTGTGGAGGAGTCGGAGCCACGGTGAGCTTTCACCCCCAAACTGCTGTTCCCGGTTCCAGTGGATCCTCCTCCGTAACCCAGCGAGCTCATCAGACGGTCCACATTGGTCTCCTCAAACGGTTCCGGTTCACCCTGGCAACGGAGCACAACTCAGCACACTCAGAAAACAACCTGAAATTGTGAGCGCCATTTGTGCGCTGCTTTCATGATGGATTTCTTTAACGGTGCATCAGGAAATAATTATGTAGATTGGTTTAGAAGGATTCAAGCCAAAAGGCACAAACAAGATAAAGAAAGCAGGGATGCACTGAAAAAAACTTTCCTGGACGGATTTTTTTTTTTCTTTCTGACTCATTTTGACTAATTTAATTTGTTTTTAAGAAATATTATAAGAAAGAAAGTTATTTAAATTAAAACAAGGACAATTTAAACTTGATTTTGAAGGTAAACAGCACATAGGAGGACTACTTTTCTACACATAAGCTACAAAATCTATTTAAAAAGATGTTTGTAGGAGATTATAGACAGCAACGGACAGATTATTGTTAGGTTTGGTTATTGGTAGGTTATTAATAATACGAGACACACAGATCCATAAAACCTACTTTTTCTAAAGCAAAAGTTGTTAAAATTTTCCATTTTAGTAGATTATAAAATTCTTCATGCTTTGAATAAAGCCAATAAATAAATATTGGCAGACATGCAATCCAGACATTAAACTTTAAAAAGTTTTAATTTATAAAAACCTTTTGAGATTAACTTTGTTGTTTATTAATTATTTTAGATATTTAAATGCCATTTGTTCAAATATTTTTTGGGCAACTTTTTTTTTTTTTTTTTTTACAACAAACTTCTCAACAAATTGCATTCTTGTCAAATTCACTTCACTGGGTGTAAATTTTACTTTGGAGTGAAGAGTTAAGTTGCATGTCTATTAAGAATTTTCATTGGTCTAAACCAAAAAGTTGAAATTAAATATAAAATCTGCTTCTGTATTGTTTTCATCTTTGCTTTTTTTCTTTCTATTTTACAGTTTAGTTAATGTAAGGCATTTTGAATAGTCTTTTTACTGAATTGTAATATTTATAAAAACTTGCCTTGCCAAAATGTAATCTCTGGATTGCATTTCTCTTTTAAATTTCCATTTACAAACCATGTTCTTTGCTTTTACCAATAATGTAGTAAAGTTCATAGGTTCTCTCTTGGTTCTCTCAGTTGGTCCCTCTATAGTGCTCAGTGTGTGAACACTATTTAACAATATATGTGCATGGTTCTGTGTCTTGTGTGACTAGACTCTCCAGGGAGTTAGCTGTCTTTCACCCAATGACTGTTGGCGATAGAGACCGGTACCCCCACCCACCCTTCCCACAAACATGCAAGGATAAGAAGGCATATATGGTGAATGAAAATAGATAGATGGAGTTAAGATTATTTACACTTCTGAGCTGTGCACGTACAAACACACTGTTCTCCTTGTCCTGCTTCCGACCTCTCTGTGCATTCAGGGGTATTAACGGCTATCAAGCCTCCCATCTGAATCCATGAACAGGCTATAATCATATTGGAAGTCATTGACATTCAGCTAGGTGGCACGGTCGCATGTGTCATTATGGTGTATCAGAGTGGCAGCAGAGGGAGATTTCACTTATCCTTCATTCTCTTCTCAGCTTTTTACTCCAAATAAAATTATCACTCCATCTGTTCTTTTTGTCATCACTTCCATTTTTCATTTTCATGTCTTTATCTTCATTTTGTGGAGGTTTAAACAGTTCATGGAAGGGTAATTTTGTTAATCCTCTTAGTCTGAGCTGAAGGCTTCAGAGGGAGAATGAGTAAAGGAAAGACAGGAAGTGCAGGAAAGGATTAAAGTTATAAGTACTTAGAGGGAGATTATTTTAACAGATTGACAAAGTGGCAGTGGTTCACTTGGCCACGGTGATTAGTTGACTCACTGGGTCAAAAGGACCTGAGCTGCAGCGTCAGAGAGAATCTGATTTAAAAGCTTTGTTTGATGTTGCTGCTTCTACAATTCAGTTAAAGGAAATCGTTTAGCCCATGTATTAAGTATATGTAAGAGAATGTAAGAGTTTTCTGGCCTTTTCCACAAACTAATTTTTTACTGTTATTTTTTAAATACGTTGGTTATACAGCAACCAACTTCAATAACTTTCAAAGCAAGGATAAAGTGAAAAAGAAAACATTTTTAAGAATTCATAGGGCTGAAAAGAAAAATCAGCTTTTACCTCTTTAGGGGGGCAGTTACAAGTGGTCTGTGACATTTGTCAAAGAAAATGCTGAATTATAATCTAAACCCACATTTGGAAGTAATGACCTCGTGGTTAGAGAGCAGGAAGTTTGGGTCCTGTGGCCACTGCCACAGGCACCAGATGGAAACTCAAGACTGCTGCTCTGACTCTTTGAGCAAGACGCTCCGCACAGATTGCTCTCCATGTGCTAAGAAATGTGTCTGTAGACTGGAATGGACAAAATGCAGCAAGAGACTGAGAGCAATCTCTGCCTTTTCCTCTTGGGGTACTTTGCTGACAGCTAATGTGCTTTGTCAGCAAATCTTTTCAAACCCATATAAAATATGAAGAACTTAATCTCTTAATTCTCATTTACTCATAATTTTGTAGGCACTGACCAGCTTTTGTCTAAACTCTGGCTGAATATTGACCAACAGAAAAAGGTGGCCTGCGTTCTTCAGGTCGGAGTATCTAGGTCAAGTATCTTGGGGTCCTTTTTACTCGCAAAGTGGACACTGCACAGGCAACTTTACTCGTAGCTGAGCCAAAAGGTAAAGCTCTTGATTTACTGTTTGGTCTACGTTCCTACCATCACTTATGGTGATCTGGATCTGGATCATTTCCAAAAGTACGAGATCCTGGATCAAAGCGGCTGAAATTAGCTCTCTCCTCAGGGTGGCAGGGCTTTCCCGTAGAGGTAGGGTCATTCATGGGAGGCTCAGACTAGATGTCTTTCTTAGATGTCCCCATGACACCTCCCTCTGGTGTGGTTCCAGGCATGTCCCACCAAGACGAGGCCCTGGGGGCAACCCAGCACACAACGGAGGAACTATTGCTGAGTTCAAATTCAACAGCTGCATCCTCCAAAGTCCAGATTGTTCAGCCAATTACGTCATAGCCAGGCGCTGTGGCCTGTTCTTTATGTGGCTGACAAGTGCAGCCCTCAGTTTTGCCTGTTTTGAAGGACAGGTCCAGTGTATCCTTCGCAGCCTTGGGTATCCCATGATTCATTGTGAGTACAGGCAAGCCGGCTGCTCCGTGCTCAGAGGAAAAAGGGAAAGGGTGCTGAAGAGAGGTAAATATTGTAAGTGTAGTTAAATATAATACGAGTATTTAAATAGTTCCGTCTGAAATTAATAAAAATAGTCGTTTTAAATTGTTCTGGAGTCAGATACGTGGCAGGTAATGTTTGGTTTAATGAAAGGTTTTTATCCGTTTCTGTGTAGATAAAAACTTTTATTTTAATGGGAGGGTATGTACACTTTCAAGCACAAATGTAAATACATTGAAAGTTTATGAATTGATAGATTGTAGCATTTTAAAAGAAATGTATAATTCACAAAAGAATTTCTACCAAACAATATTCAAAATATATTTTCTATATGGTGGATATCCATACTTAACTTAGACTTAAAAGGAACAGATTTTTAAAAAATCCAGGTGTAGAACAACAATGATGGAAATATGTATTTCTGATAAAGGTGTTTATCTGTGGAAAGAGCTTATCAGTGTTTAAAATCAATCAGAAACTTATTTTAAATTATGTTTAAAAGAAACTTGATATGATATGACAGAGGATAGGCTGATGTATTGTTGGTTTTTATTACTGTTTTCTGTGTATTTGTGGACATGTTTTTTTTTTTTCTCTATGATTGTAATTATCTGTATCCAGAGTTGAATAATTAAAACTATTAAAAACTGGGGCAGATAATATAAGTTTTTAATTCTTTGTGCTCTTTTCTGTGCTTGATTTCAGTTGTCACCTGTACAGGTTTTGATTATGTTGTATTTTCTTTCAATGAATAAATGAATTAAAAGAAAGAATAACCACCCATGTAAAAAAAAAACCTAACAAAAATAAAAAACAGCTAAAACAATTACAAAAAAAAAAAAAAATATATGACGTTAAATTTTATAATTACAGAATGAAAACTCCTCACCAGAACTGAATGTGTGCAGAGCTGCTACAGAGGATAGACCCTGTCCCTATACTTACATCATAGCCGTTATTCCGGATGCCCCTCCTGGATCTCTCCCTCAGAACCAGCAGGTCCATTTCAGTCTCTACTGGGCTGGGGCTGCTCAGAGACTGACGGCTCCAGTATGTTGGCTCTCTTGGATGGGAATACCTGTTTACAGATATTTACAGATGACAGGATCACAGATCTGAACCACTTTTTGGTAGAAACGAAAAAGCCCTAAAACTTATATTTTCAGTTATGCAAACCAAAAGTGACAGTGAAAATTCTAATTTCAACAAGCTTATATTAATAATTAACCTGCTGATAACACATAGACTAATGTTAGCGAGAGCAAAATATACAGGTGCTGGTCATAAAATTAGAATATCATGAAAAAGTAGATTGATTTCAGTAATTCCATTTAAAAAGTGAAACTTGTATATTATATTCATACATTACATACAAACTCATATATTTCAGATGTTTATTTTGTTTAATTTTGATGATTACAAATGACAACAAATGAAAATCTCAAATTCATCATATCAGAAAATTAGAATATTACTGAAGACCAATAAAAACAAAGGATTTATAGAAATGTTGGCCAACTGAAAAGTATGAACATGAAAAGTATGAGCATGTACAGCACTCAGTATTTAGTTGGGCCTCCTTTGGCCTGTATTACTGCAGCAATGCGGCGTGGCATGGAGTCGATCAGTCTGTGGCACTGCTCAGGTGTTATGATAGCCCAGGTTGCTCTAATAGTGGCTTTTAGCTCTTCTGAATTGTTGGGTCTGGTGTATTGCATCTTCTTCTTCACAATACCCCATAGATTTTCTATGGGGTTAAGGTCAGGAGAGTTTGCTGGCCAATTAAGAACAGGGATACCATGGTCCTTCAACCAGGTACTGGTAGCTTTGGCACTGTGTGCAGGTGGCAAGTCCTGTTGGAAAATGAAATCTGCATCTCCAAAAAGTTGGTCAGCTGCAGGAAGCATGAAGTGCTCTAAAACTTCCTGGTATGTGGCTGCGTTGACCCTGGACCTCAGAAAACACAATGGACCAACACCAGCAGATGACATGGCACCCCAAACCATCACTGACTGTGGAAACTTTACACTGGACTTCAAGCAACGTGGATGAAGTGCCTCTCTTCTTTTCCTCCAGACTCTGGGACCTTGATTTCCAAAGGAAATGCAAAATTTACTTTCATCAGAGAACATGACTTTGGACCACTCACCAGCAGTCCAGTCCTGTTTCTCTTTAGCCCAGGCAAGACGCTTCTGACGCTGTCTGTGGTTCAAGAGTGGCTTGACACAAGGAATGCGACAGCAGAAACCCATGTCTTTCATACGTCTGTGTGTGGTGGTTCTTGAAGCACTCACTCCAGCTGCAGTCCACTCTTTGTGAATCTCCCCCACATTTTTGAAGGGGTTTTGTTTCACAATCCTCTCCAGGGTGCGGTTATCTCTCTTGCTTGTACACTTTTTTCGACCACATCTTTTCCTTCCCTTCGCCTCTCTATTAATGTGCTTGGACACTGAGCTCTGTGAACAGCCAGCCTCTTTAGCGATGACCTTTTGTGTCTTGCCCTCCTTGTGCAAGGTGTCGATGGTCGTCTTTTGGACAACTGTCAAGTCAGCAGTCTTCCCCATGATTGTGTAGCCTATAGAACTAGACTGAAAGACCATTTAAAGGCTTTTGCAGGTGGTTTGAGTTAATTAGCTGATTAGAGTGTGGCACCAGGGGCCATCAATTTTGAACCTTTTCACAATATTCTAATTTTCTGATATGATGAATTTGAGATTTTCATTTGTTGTCATTTGTAATCATCAAAATTAAACAAAATAAACATCTGAAATATATGAGTTTGTATGTAATGTATGAATATAATATACAAGTTTCACTTTTTAAATGGAATTACTGAAATCAATCAACTTTTTCATGATATTCTAATTTTATGACCAGCACCTGTATATATATTTAACTGTTGGAAAGTAGCCTAATGCTGGTAGCTTTATAGATAAACTAGCATTATAATAAATGTGTGCGTAATGCCATGATCCATCTGTGGTCATGCAGAATGTACACGGCTGCACGCCAGCTGTTGGGTGTGACCAAATAAAATGTAGCAGCATGGCTGATACTACTTAACTTGTCTAACAGACTACAGCACAATGATGCATTTTTAAAGTCTGACCGACTGCCCACTAACATTGTTATTTAGTCTCGTCGACGAAAACTCACACCCATTAGTCGTCAGTTTTCGTTATCATCATGAAAAAAAGGAGAGTTGAAATAATTACGTCATCGTTGACGAAAACAACACAGGCTGGAGTATAGAAACTAAAACATACCTTTAGCTAACAGAGCAAACCCACTTAGGGAAGTAATTATAAGAAAACTTTTAAAATATATATCGACATTTTGCATTTAAGATAAAAAAAATATTTTTGCTGTCAATACGCTCTATCCTGAACTCCATAAGTGGAAAAGTTTCTGTAAATTGGTTTCATTCTGTAAAAAATCTTCTTTAAGAAACCTTTTGATATCAGATTATTAATTGATTAATCCTAAAAATAATCAACAGATTACTTGAGTTGCGAAATAATCGTTAGTTGAAGCCCTAATCATTTTATTGATAATAGTTTTCAACTATTTCCGTTTAATTTCTGTTTGTTAAATTTCACAATTTCAGTGAAAAGTTTTTACCTTGAATGTTTGACTTGGAGTTGAATAATTTTTGTTAATAAATTATTATATTTTGAATGACAGTTGTAAATGTATTCCATATGTGTACAGATTTAGCTGTTTGACCATTGATTTGAGCTCAGATCACACTTTTATTTATTATCCTAACACACAATCAGGTGGGCGTGTATTTGCAGAACAACGCATAGACAGTCTGAAATTAATTTGATTAAATAGCAGGAAGTCACAACAGAATTTAAATGCATAACAGAGATGTTGTCAAGACAAAGTCAGCTCATTACCTCTTATGACATCCAGCAAAAGAGGCCCTCTTCTCCTCAGCCGTCATGGGCTGCTTGATGGCTGCATCGTGCCGGTTGTGCCTGCTGTCACGGTGACTGTAGCCGTGGTTGAGACTCTCCGACAGTGAGAACTCTCCGTACCCTTTCCTTCGAGCCTTCTGACGCAGTTTGTTTCTGTAGTGCTCAATGTCTGACTTCTGCTTCAGCCCAACGTGATTTGCCTTCAAATGAACAAATAATGAGTAAAAGCATCAGTTTATCATAGAGAGAATATTTTTTGATAAATTTAAAATGTTTCTTTTGTCTCACACAACCAATATTCAGAGAGTATGTGTGTCTTAAACATATTTTTTCCTCTTAGAATGGCACCTATAAAGTGGTAGAGCAAAGAAACCCCTTGGGTTGTTCCTGGTATTATGTTATGTAGGTTAAGGAATAATTTATGGCAGTCTCTGCTTGAGAAATGCACAGAGACAGAGGCAGAATAAGAGTGAGCCTTGACAAATGGGCTGAGAGATTATCTGTTTACTCCAACAACAGCTAAATTCAGTAACTGCACAATATGTCCCAGAGGGGATGTGGTGATTACAAGGTGGGAGGATGGGATAATAAACTACTGAAGTGAAAATGTTTTATATTAGACACCGTTCCTGTAAATTTGAATGAATTTAACACTGGATGTGATCCAACATCCATGATTGTGTAACACACCCATATATTACAAGACTATATGACTGTATGGCATGAGACTTAACATCCAGATCATAAGAAATCTGCTTTAAATCTATCAATCAAACTAGTTACTGCTGCCCTTCCCTTCAATATGTGCGGTTATGTTTAGCTTTACCTTTTCCAAACTCACCTCTCCGTTCACAACCACGGAGTCCTGGCTGTGTGAGGAGGAGGAGGGATACGAGTAGGTGGGCTGGGCTGTCATGGGTTTAATGGTGATGAGTCGCAGAGAGCCTGAATGGTCCTCATAAGGGTCTAGGAAGAGAAAAAGTAAGGCAGTTATATAAAGGTATGGATGGCATAGTCATTACTAAAGTGGTATAGTGATGCATAGGGTATTCTCTCTGTTAAAAGCATGGTTACATGGTTAAAGGCACAGTGGCAACACCTTATGGTCAATAACAACTGCCCATCTCCACCTGTTGATAATAAGTTTTGAAAATAACATGAAAAGTCAAAAACGAAGAGTTGCACACTTTCTTTTTCCAAAGTCATAGGAGCATTGGGGGATCAACCAGAGAGCATGAGCTAGCTGCATCTATATGAGGCACAGCAAGCTAGAATGTAGCATTGACAACAAAATATACTAAAATATACTAAAACACTATTGTTAGTTTTGAAAGTTTCCTATCTACTTTTACATTTTTTTTATAAAACTACTGTGGGCCACCCATGGGCTAAACCAATCACCGTTCACCCTAGTTCTCTGGGGAAACCCTGAATGCCAGTTTGTTTATATAGCGCTAAATTATCGTCTCTGGGCTCTTTATAGAGACAGTTCAATCAGATCATACAGGCAAATTAGTTCAAATGTTTTCTTTCTCAAGAAATCCAGCTTTATTTCATCACATGCCCACCCAACTATTTGCAGTTTTGCTTCATTCTATTTTCCCAGTCTGCACCATTTGCATCGCTACAACATGTTCTTCCCATCGGCAACCATTAATTCACTCTTGATTGTGCATTTATATAAGGATAACATGTAAATCTCTCGCTCCATATGTGTTGTTTGGTGTGTTTAACTTAAAAGAAATGTGGAAAAAATTGTCAAGAAATGTCAACTGTTACTAGTCTCTTACAAAAAAAATCAGACTTCTGTAAACTCAAACTGTCCACTTGAGACAATTAGGCAACAAGTTGATATAAATGGCAATTAATAAGGAGTTGTTCTTCAGTTGGGCACCACAGACCACTTCTCAGTACATAGGCTTTCTGGTTGATGTTTTGGTCACTTTTGAATGATTATGTTGCTTTTACATTCATGGTAGCATGAGATTGACTCTAGACCCATAGAGGTGGCTTAAGTAGTGCAGTTCATCCTGGATAGCACATCAATGTGAGCTGTGGCAAGAAGGTTTGCTGTGTCTGTTAGCATAGTGTCCAGAGGCTGGAGGTGCTACCGGGAGACAGGCCAGTATATCAGGAGATGTGGAGGAGGCTGTATGAGGGCAAGAACCCAGCAGCAGGGCTGCTACCTCTGCTTTTGTGCAAGGAGGAACAGGAGGAGCACTGCCAGAGCCCTGCAAAATGACTTTACGAAGGCCACAAATGTGCATGTCCTCACAGAAATGGGTAGAAACCGACTCCATGAGGTTGGTATGAGTGCCTGATGCCCACAGCTTGGGGTTGTACTCACAGCTCAACACTGTGCAGGAGCACTACTGGCACCACTGGCACCCTCTGCTTTCACAGAGTCAGTTAAAAGCCAGGGAATTCTGAAATTATGTAAGAATGTGGAAACCCTGTATAAAATAACTGTATAATGATTCTCTAGAAAAGTCACATTATATCAATAGTATTATCTTGTATAAACATACCGGGACTCTAAAATAAAAGTTATTCATTTGTGACATTGACTTCTGTCTTGTGATTTATCTTAAGTTTTTAACCTGTCAAGTTTTTTTTAGATTTTAACATTACAATTTATATTTTACCAAGCACACAACAGTTTAAACCAAAGTTTAGTTTGAAAAGAATGTGCAGGAAGGATTGAAAAGCATGTAAACACGGGTAATGTAGGTTGAGTTTATTATCTGACGCATGCATATACACACCAGGAACCTGTAAACTTAAAAAATGCTGAATTAAAAAACACATTTAAAAATCAAACATGTTTCACTGATATATATATATATATATACAAAAATGAATATTAGGAACTATATTTATCAAACATTATACCGGGCAAGTAAAAATTGTTTCTGGGCAAATGAAATGTGAAAAAATCCTTCACGTCAACCCCTGCATTAGGTACCAAGATGAGATCTTCAGACCCCTTGTGAGACCATATGCTGGTGTGGTTGGCCCTGGGCTCCCCCTAATGCTCATAATGGGTCCTCATAGGCAGGGGCGTGCACACATAGACACTAGGTGGTGCTAAAGCACTAGGAAGTTTGCCCTTTATCAACGAAAATGCCCTTTTGAAACTCGTTTTTTTTTTTTATTATTATTAATATTATTAAGATTTTACTGAGGTCGGTTTTGAAATAATCTTTTGAAAACCTGAGCCATTAAAAACGACTGAAACAATGCCCCGAAATGAGCCACCTCCTTACGCACGCCCGACCAGCCTATCTCCCTTCCTTTGTCACGTGAACTCGTGCGGTCGCCCGCAGGGCATGCCAGATGCGCAGCATCATAGCAGTTCAGTAAGCGTCTTCAGATAGCAGGGACGGTCGCTGACAGGCTGCTTCTCCCGTGCCCCATTAGCCAGGTAATAAACAGATCAAGCAAAATCATTTTGTTTTGTATTAAAATGTCTCATTCAGCATCACCAAACACGCATTTTTGCCGACTGGTCACCTGATAAACTAGTTAGACTAGATAAAGTTTTACACTGTAGCCCAAGTCAATGACAGATAACGTGAGGACGACCACATAGGCTACAAATAATTTCGGTAGAGTTTGCAATTGCAAATCTATGTGTTAAGACAAATATTTTCTGTTGTATAGGTTTTGTTAGGCAACATAAATTAACACATTTTGGTCTCTTTATTGTCTTAATTGTATATTGATTTAGTAATTGCAGCACAATGCCAAGAAAGGAGGGTTAATCGTATTGAAAAATCTTAAAAGCTGTTCACATTTTATTTTTAAGTGGTTTGTACAAAATCAGCAGGTATTAAAATAGCTATTATTTTGTAGGCTACCATAAGTCAAATCCACGTGACAAGACTTCCAGTCATGTTGCCCTAATAGCCCATTATTTAAACTAATGTGGCATATTTGTTAAAGCTATTATTATTATTATTATTATCATCATTATTATTGTCATGACGGTTATTATTATTATATTGTAGCCAGTCACAGCAGGGAAGCTCTATACCATCAACATCTACCAGGACAGGAGATGAGGAAGAGTTCAGGGAAGACACAGAGACAGAAAAAGACCAGGATGAGGGAGAGCAGATGGGTGAGGGAAAACAGGGAGATGAGCCAGATGAAAGAAGAAGAAAGATGATCAAGTCTGTTATTGTAACAGACTTGATCATTTAGTCTGTTCTGTTGGTGATGTGACTTTTTTCCATTGAAAACTCACTTTTAGAGAATGTTACAAATAAAAGTCAAATTTCATTCAACATGCGTGTATTTTTTTTTATATAGTTAAGTGTTCCACATGTGCTAAAAAGTGCCCTCCCCCCCCTCCTGAGTACCTGCCCCCCAAAATGTCTGTGCACGCCTCTGCTCATAGGGCTGGACTGTGTCAGTATTCCTGCAAGATGAAGGCACTGAAGCTATGGACTGGGTCGCCAATTTCCCAGACTAATCTGATTCAGCACATCTGGGAAATCATGTCTCGATCCATCCACCAACGTCACGTTGCACCACAGACTGTCCAGGACTTTTTGGATGCTTTAGTCCAGGTTTGGGAGGAAATCCCTCAGGTGACCATCCGCCACCTCATCAGATGGAAGCCACATACAATACTGAGACTCATTTTGACCTGTGTTAAGGACATATCATTAAAACAGCCTGTAGTGTTTTTCCACTTTATTTCTGTGTGACTCAAGGCCTCCAGTGGTTAATATATCTAATTTCTATTAATGATTTTTGTGTGATTTTGTTGTCAGCACATTCAGATTTGTACAGAACAAAGAATGTTATTGGAGAGTTTCATTTATTTTTTTGAGCAGTGTAAATCTCACAAAAGCGGTCCTGAGTTATTGATGCTTCACAGCATTCAAGACATTAATGGAAAATGTGGCATCCACGGCAAAAAATGAAATAGAAGTAAATTAAATCTACTTAAAATAAATGTACTTTACACTGTTTTGACCAGGTGAGACAATATGAAATGGTATAAAAAGATTTACTTGAAAATAAGAATAAAACAACACAATTTCATATTGAAGTGCTTAATATCTAATTACTTTATTTTCATGGCAAAAGGTAATTTTTTAGACTGATCCATTTAAATGCACTGATTTTAAGGATTTATATATACAATTTAGACACATTTAAACACAAATCTTTTCTAGTATGTCTTTGTGCTGACCTTACAGAGTGATTAATTTGTTAAAGAAAGATCCTTGTTGCTTGTGTTTATACATTTAAGGTTAGATAAAAATAATTTTATAACCAGTGTACTTTCTTACCATATGTGCCCAGTCAGTTAAAATAACTAACCGGATTATGATTATTCAGGGTCTTTGTCCATGTTTATATGTGTCTGATGGATAAACTGTCAAGCACTACAAAAGAAAAAATAAAGATTGTCTCATTAGGCTCTTTAATTTAGATCCCTTGTTGTCATGGAAACAAAAAAAAAGATAAGTGAAGACATAAAGATGTTTCAGTTCTAATGTTTGGATAATAACAGCACACAGTTTATCTAGTTAAAACATTTTCTCAAACATTTTCTGAAACTCAGTATATTAAAAACTATATAGTGAGCTATTGCAGAAGGCAACAGATGGGAATTGTTGTGTTGCACTGAATCCACTGTGACTCATTCCCAGACTGACATCATGATAACTCAGCTCGAAAACTCCTGGCGTCAACCAACCTTCATCTTGGCAGCAGCTCACACTATGTTATTTCTTACTGAAGCTGCACGGCATATCAAGCGTGTCAGTCAAGGTCGCGCATCAGGTGGGCGTCACAATAAAAAGGCATGGTGGACCAGATAGGACATTATAACAATGCATCAAGATATTACTAACCTTTGACACCAACGGGTAATTTTAGAGGAAGTGTTTACTGCCATCCCACATACAATAGATTTTAAACACAACGGACCACATGCAACAACATTT